AGATTTACTAGGGCCGGGTTGGAGCCTAGGTAGAGCATTTGTTTTCCTCACTCTGAAGGCAGGAGTGATGAAGGGCCTGCTTCACAGAGTTGTTCTGAGGAATACATTAGGCAGAAGGCACTCCCACAGACTCCAGATGTTTATATATGGCAGTCACTTTGAGACCCTACTGCTGAGGGCTCATCTGGAAAGAAATATCTAGTCACTAACAAGGCTGTTAGAGACCCCACAGTGGCTTACAGAAAAGAGACTGTGTAGGGTATGTCTTAGTTACTGCTCTGCTACTGTAACAAAACACAAGGACCAAGGCCACTTACAGAAGAAAGAGTTTATGGCTCTTGAGGGAGAAGAGTCCCCCATGGCAGAGTGGAGGCAGAAAACACTCAGAATGTATGCATGGTGGCTGGAGTAGGAAGTTGAGTGCTTACATGTTGAACCTCAAGCACAAAGCAGAGAGATTGAACTAGAAATGGTGTGAGTCTTTAAATTCTCAAAGAGCACATACAAGTGACATACTTTCTCCATCAAGGCCTCACCTCCTAAACCTACCCAAACAGCACCAGCAACTGGGGGCCAAGTGTTCAACTACCACAGCCTATGGGGGTCATGTTCATTCAAACCACACAGGGAGCATTGGATGAGCAGGAAAATGTGATCCTTCTGCAGGCATGAAGACCTCCAACCTCTCATAGAGCATCAGGCACTGTGGTAGGCATCAGGCACTGTGGTAGGCATGGATGGTGTTGAGTACACACAATGAATTCAGGAAACAGTGTAGAGGAAGAGTTCCTACAATGGCAGAAATGGGCAGAGGATCTGCTCAGATCATTGCAGGGCATGAAGGGTTCTGGAAATTGGAGACATATTTCCTCCATGGCATGGGCTCCCTCGCCATGGAAAGAAACCATGGAATAATACCCTCACTCCATGTCCTGGGGATGCCACTGTACCCTTTGTGCCACCTGCATAGATTTCTCTTCTCATTGGTAGAATTGAACCCATGCCTTTCCCCAATACTCCCCTCATTTCTGGAACCATGACCCCTTTTTTCTGGCCACACTCTGATACGGTTAGCCTTTCTGCCATAGCCAGTTAATGCCACACAGCTGAAGGCTGGATCTGGGCAAATTAGATAGAGGTCCAGAGATCGAGCTATATGACTCATGCTGAATGCTAGAATGGGCAAAGCTTCTGTCAGGGTCACACTGGAGTGGGGCAAAGCCTACAGATGAAGGAGAAGACTGAAGAGTCTGTGCCCAGACTTGCCCCAAACCTTCTGCCCCAGTTCACACAGGGTCAGGACCAAAGCCAAATGTGACCTTCCAGATTTTATTATCTAGGTGGTAGGACAGATATAGCAATGCAAGAAAAAATAAAAGATTTTATTCACAAGTGTTAGAATCTCTGCTTGTAAATTCATACCCTGTAGACCCACAGAGTCCTGCCCCTATACCTAGCAGTGGTCTAAATCCAACCTCTATTCCCCAAGACAACAGCATTTCCCCAAACTCCATGCTACTCTCCTGGCCGACACCACAGCACCCAGCCCCACCCCCTCATAACTGGCAGTATAGCACACACAACCACACAATGGATGTCGGCCCAGTGTGTGGGGGGTGTCATCTGCAGCCATTGTTTCCATTTATGTGCATCCAGTCTATTTCTAAATGTTTTTATACTGCTTCTAGTACTGGGATGTGTGGATCATCTAACCAAAGATTATGTCTTTATTAATTTATATTTGAGAAGAAATGCTTATTTAAAAAAAAAAAACCAGAAAGTTCGATAAGCCAAAAGAAGAAAATGAACTCTATTGTGACTCATCACCCAGAGAAATTAATGTTTTAAAAATTGAGGTACACATCTTCTCAGAGTTGTGTGCATATGTGTGTATGCTTTCTCTTACAAAAATGGGAGTATTACATATTCACATGTGTTTATCTTACACTGTTTTGTTCTTTGCTTCAGAGTTTCAAATAACTTTTATTTTTTATTCTGTTTTCATTTTATTTGATATTTCTCCTGCATGTATGTTGGTGCAGCCCATGTGCACAGTGCCTATGGAGGCCACAGGAGGATGGCAGGTCCCTGGGACTGGAGTTACAGACTGTTGTGAGCTGCCATGTGGCTTCTGGGGATTGAACCCTGCTCCTCTGTAAAAAAGAGCCATTGCTCATAACTGCTAAACCACCTTTCCAGCCCCTGAAACATATTTTGAAGCAGAGAATGGAAATTAAACAAAAGGTGTGCTCACATGGCACCTTAGTTCCCACATGACTTGTGCTGTTATATACTCACACACGCATTTATATACTATCACATGGAAATCCCAGTGATTGTATGTCTCTGCACATTTACAGTATAACTCCAGTGACCTTGACATTCTGAAAATCATGAGGTTTCCGCTAAAATCTTCAGGAAAGATTAAGTTCATCCAATTTAGATTTCTGTGTAGTTTATCTCATGTATATGGATATTAGTAATCCATAGGCGATAAACCTCATAATGAATCAGGAAAGGTAATTAATCAGAATGTTATACTGTATGTGCACACACATATGCATGTGTGTGTGTGTGTTCTCATGTGTGCACACACTTGTGTGTATATATGTGTGTGTGTGTGTGTGTGTGTGTGTGTGTGTGTGTGTGTGTGTGCAGGTACAGTGCATATGCTAATGGGAGCCAAAGGTTGAAGTTCCTCCTGCCACTTAATTTTTGAGACAGGGTCTCTCCCTGAACCTGGAGTTCACTGGCTGGCCAGGCTGGCTGGTAGTGAATCTTCCTGTCTCTCCCCCTCAGTGCTGAGCTTACAGGTGTGTGCCACCGTGGCCTGTCTTCTATGTGGACGCTGGGGACTGACCAGCTCCTTACTGACTGAACCATCTTCTTGGCCCTCCTGCAGCATTATGTATCTATGAGTTTAGAGGAAAGCAGAATGCCCATGGGGATGCTTTTACCTCTGGGAAATTGAGGCACAGAGCACTGTTGGGGTGACAGAATTCAGTCACTCTGTAGTGCTGGTGGTGGCAGTGAACCTGGAGATGGATGGCTGGGTAGTTTTTTGTTTTAAATGTATGTGTGTGGTATGCTTGCCAGTGTATGTGTGTTCACATGTTTGTGTGTGTGTGTGTGTGCGCGCGCGCACACGCGCGCGCGCGCGCAGAGGCCTGAAACTGGCATCAGATGTCTTTACCTTTACATATTGGGGCAGGCTCTCTCACTAAATGTGAAGCTAGGTGTTTCAGAGTCTAGATAGTCATCTTGCTGAGAGATTCTCTGTCTCCACCTTTGTGCTGGGATTACAGGTAAGCGGCCAAGCACACCAACCATTGTGGCTTCTGTGTGGCTTCTGGGGATTTGAATTCTAATCCTTACACTTAAGCAACTTTCCCCCACGGAGCCTTCTTCTAAACCCCAAGCGTTTTCAGTAGAAAACAAACAGAAACACACACACACACACACACACACACACACACACACACACACACACGAGTTTGTGTTCTGCATTTCTGCACTGTGACACTAGCATTAAAGTGAACCCAAACCCTTTCAAACACACTCTCTCATCCTTCAACTTTTAAAATTATAATAATTACCAGATTTCCAAAAAAACCTAGTAGTACAATGAACTCCATAATTAAAAATGAAAGAAATAAAGGGTATTTAGAATAATAAAATTCTCAATACAAAACAAAAGGAAAAAAACTCTAACCCTTGATTAGGTAACAGTTGCCGGCTGAACATGATTCAGCATTTGCCTTCATGTGTGCTGAGCTAGCGATAGGGGAGAGGAGAAATGACGGATAATCAGATGAACCTTCAACTAGTGGGGTCTAGACTGAGCCACTCCACGTGGGCCACGTTCTATAAGAATATCATATCTGAAAAGAAAATGTGTGATTTCAGAGTTCTATGGACCTTGATTCCATGTCACTCTTAGACCCGTTTTAAATTCTGCACACAACTTGTCTACTTGAATTGCCATGAGGCAGGCTCTGCCTGTCCAGATCTCCTTCTTCGCTTCTGGGTCTGAGGACAGGAGACTGGAGGCAGGTCCAGGAGCCCCAGGTTTCTGACTCACCTCCTGGCCACTAAATACTTTATCAAACAGGGCTTGTTACAGTCTGGCCATGCTGGAAACTGCCTGATGCTCTTGAGAGCTTAAGGCGAAACTGATCATGAGGCCGATTTGTGGGCTACCAGCCCCCCACCCTGTGCCCCAGAAGCAGACTCATGAATTTAGGGAGGGAGAGCAGATTTGATTGACTGCTTTCTAAGGATGCTAGATGGATGTGAGCCTCAACCCACCACAGGAGCCTTTCTCAACTTTAGTGTGTCTGGGACAATGATTACTATAGAGAAGAAAACAGACATGACAGGTGACCAAATCTCAGATGCTGCAGGGCGGGCAGGCAGCAGGGATAGAGCCGGCCTCTGACAGGCAGCCGCCTATAGCCAGAGCTTCTCTGACTCCACCCCCCTCTCCTCTCCTGGCTCACATCCCAGAGGCAGCTGTGTCCCCGAGCCCGCTCTCTGGCCTCCCACAGGTAGACAAATTGGCTGTTGGAGTTTTTTCTCCATGTGGGACATTGGGTTAATCACTTGATAGAAATCATCACATGAATTATTAGTTTCTCTCATGTTACAGATGAGGAAACATGAGACCCAAAGAGTAAGTCACAGGCCAGCAGTGCCAAGCACCCCGGTGCATGGCACCAGGTCTGAACCCCATGCCCAGTGGCCCTTACTGTCCAGAGCACATAGACAGTTTCATGCCAGCCAGGGAATGTGAGTTGTGCAGAGGTAAAGATTTGTAGTGATGCAGCCTAACAGAACAAAATTACTGAGAGGAGTGAGGGGTGTGGATGTGTCTTTGTAGCTGGGAAGACCTTATTATACAGAGTGGCCACATTGTGTTTCCAGGAGCCTGGCTCCAACAGGGCCCGCTTGCAGGAAAACCAGCTGGAAGTTTTATTCACTGACACTTCTGTCTTGTTTCAGCTTCTGATGAAGCCACACCTGCTGGGAGCCCTGTGGCAGGGCAAGACTCCACGGATGCAGCCGACGGCCAGCCATCACCAGATCAGACCAAGACAAGTTTCCTGGCTAGTGGCTCGGTGCCGTCTGCCCTCTGTGTTGTATTGTAACCAAGAGAAAAAGCGAACCTACGGGATTCATTCCTTTTAATCAATGGCAGCAAAGAAAATTAAAATGTTTTCAGTTGTGTATCTTTCTCAGCACCCCTTGGAGAATAAAGGAAGAGAAATGAAACCCAAGCCTGGAAGGGTTGGAAAATGCTTTGTAGTAATGTTCATGGCCAGCCTTCAACTGACTTGGGCTGTACATGTTCTAGATGTTGACTTTGCCTGTGAGTCTGCTTATGTCTGGTCTCAGCTCCCTATCGTCCCAAATCCTTGCCTCTGGACAGGTGCCCTAGGGTCTGCTTTCACAGGACATCCTGGCCTTGGGCTCAGTATGCTTTTTAACAGGTAGTGGGAGGAGAAAGGGAGAGGAGCTGGGGTAAAGAGATCCAGACCGTACAGTTTATAAGTTGCCCACTAAGACAGCTGGGCTGTGGAAGGCACTGGGCCAGTAGGATGAAAGGAAGCCATTTTCCTTTCCGTATGCTCCACCCATTGTCCTGGAGCTGCCATTTATTCTATTAAACACTGCTAGAGACAATCTTCCCAGTGCCCAGGTGTGTTTTAGTTTCTTATTGCTTAAAACACCATGACCAAGGTAACTTATAGAAGAGAGGGTTTATTTGGGGCTTATGGTACCAGAGAGGGAAGAGTCCATCACCATCATATCACATCTTATTCAAACCACGATACTTGGGAAGCTTGGCCAGGCCGATAAAATGCTCACAGGGCCCCTCATACCTCAAATGCACCTTCATTCAGCCTGGATATCTTCTGTGAGCTGAGGCCCCAGAGCCCAGGAGTGGTGTGTGAACCCTTACTGAACTGGTTAACTCATGGCATGTCTATGCTCTGGCATACACCTGTGCATGCTGTGCTTCCATAGAAACATCTGGTGGTCCACCTCATGGACACCAAGCAGATGTAGGCTGTCACTCCAATAAGTGACTTGCTCATAAACAGTGAATGCTTGGCTTGGTGGACAGCATGCTCTAGTTAGAGCCCTTCCCAGAGCCGAAAATTACAGAGAACCGCCCCCTACTTCTACAGCGTGGCAGGCTCATTTTAACCCCCAACCCAGCCTCGCTCCAGCCCCTCTTAGCTTCTTCCACTTCAGGGCACCTGTCCCAGGCTTGGCCTATCCAGATAGTGGCAGATGGCTGGTCCTCAGACTGATGACTGACAGATTCCTTGGCCTCTAGCCACAGAGGGAGGTGACATAGTTTCCTAAATAAGAAGTTGAAAACACTCTCCACTGCCCTGCCTCAGGGGCACAGAGCTCAAGCTCGGGCTCCTAAGAGCCACACCACCCCTGCTCCCACTGTCCTGCATACCAGGGCAATCCTGGATGGCAAAGTTCTCTCGGGCACTGAGAAGGAGATGCCAGTCTGCTGAGGCCCCCGTCTGCCACTTTCTCCTCCAATGGCCCTCTTTGTGCCCAGCTGATGCCAATTCCTGACGCATCATTTGGGCTTGGTGTCTTATCCCTCTCCTGGGCTAAGGCTTGTTCATTCTTCACAGACATCTGGCTTCCCCTGTCCCTTCTTAGTTTGTCTTTCACTTCCAGCTTTCCTTCAGCTCAAGTTGTGTGAGAAAGGAAGAGAGTGACTTGCTGGTTGCCTGGCTGAGGGGTGAGATCATCCCGCAGAGAGTGGGTGCTGTGTGATAGCCTGGAGACCCAGGAGAGCAAGCCGAGAAGCTTGTTCTCCGAAGAGGACCATCTGGCCGCGACAGACTCGTGCTAATCGGTAGCTTTCTTTTTCTTTATTCTTCTTGGTGTGTTCCCCGGGAGCACTTCATCTGCAGCTGTAAATTCAGACCTGGCCCCTGTGAAGGCAAGCGTTCATTTGGGGAGCATGCTTATTCGCCCCACTCCTGTCCCTCTTGGGGGTGTCAGGAAGCCATTGTTATCCATGGTGTGCCTCTGTGGCTTTAATGTCAGGGCTGCACTTTCAAATGGAAATCAGGCAATTATGTGCCACATAGAGAAACCTGACAGATGCAGAGGTTTTTACACAACTGGCCCTGTCTGAGGGACAAAGGCACCTGGTGCTCCCCGAGGGACCATTAAATAAATAGAGTACGTTCGGAGAGCACAGAAAAATTCAAGAATAATTAACTGTGTGATGAGCATTCACAGACTCAGTGGCTGTTTAACTCCTAAATGTGATAATGATACGTCAACCAAATGCCTGAGTCATTCTTTAAAGGTGGCACGAGAAAATCCGTCTCCGTGTGTATTGAAACAGAGGAGAGACTGCTCTGAGCATCTGAGCATCTGAGCATCTGAGCATCTGCATGGTGCAGTCCAAAAAGATTCGAAGGGTTTTTGAATCATTTTATTTCCCCTCAAGGCTCCACTTGGTGTGACTCAATTTAATCTCTCTCTCTCTGTCTCTGTCTCTGTCTCTGTGTCTCTCTCTTCTTCCCCCCTCCCACCCCCCACACACTCACAAAACAAAAGAACTGAAAAAACAAAAACATAAAAGCCAGGAAGAAAAAAAAAAGCAACCCCCCAAACACACACACACACACACACACACACACACACACACACACACACACACACA